TGTGTTTGAGGGTTTTCATCGGCAAAGTCAACCTGAATGTTTTGGATGGAGGACGACCATCCATTAAAGCCAAAAACTTCATTCGCTAAGGTGATACACTTCTCAGCAGTTAGGTAATGGACCTTGGTACCACCAGGACCTGCACGGGCAGAAATGTACTCCGGGCCAAGTTGTTTATCCAGTTTCGCTGAGATAGTTGCAATGTCCTTGGCAGCCCATTCGGCGACTCGTGGACGCGGCTCCTCGAAAGGATTCGTCACTGCAGTGTGCTGATCGCCTGGGCTGAGGAAACCGTTAGTGATAAAGAACATTAAATGCGACACGTCTGGGGACATACGCAGGCATGGTGAATGATTCAACACTGGACAAAATTTATGTAAACATGAAGAACTCAGCAAGTGTCGGCAATGAGGGTCCGTAGCAACAGAGAAAAACTGAGGCAGTATAGAGTAAAGGGTAGAACTTGGCCAGCAGTGGCGGGCTTGACATTGATTAATGAGCAAGAGCGCGTTAACGGTCAATCCAGGCAGTCGCGCCTCCACTTCAGAGTGACGGGAGAGCACGTGACACTACTTAGACAGGACCACTGAGGACGCACCCTTCATCAGGTTGGTAGATCAGATAAGTGTTACCTACTACCTTACTATTGTGTACTCTTCAGGTAAGGTACTAGGTTAGTAGTCCGTGTTTCCTATACTGTAACTACATACGAATGGAAAGTGCTCCGCTGCCACCCAAGATTTATATACAATTGCAACCAGATTGTCAGGAGCCCACGATTGCCCCTCATGTCTTGAGCTGTCTTGACACTATCCAGGTTCAATGGCTTATTACCTAGTAGGCAACTTCTTATTACTAGACCTTAGCACCTTCATCACGGATTCGATACCTTGTGACACTGACTTTTAATGTACAGAGGTTACCTACCTACCTAAGGTAGGTAGGTAGTCTCTTCAAGCTCGCGAAGTGGATCTCGATGACAGTGAGAATATCTCAAAAGAGGAATGCCATTTCTTACAACTGGAAAGTTATAAATACACGAAACTCGAGACGCAATTAGGATCCAAATATCCATCAACATTTATCTGCCTTGAATAACGCAGTGTTCCTCTTGGACTTTCTAGCCATAGAGGTTTTGCCTTAATACACAATATAGCTTGCCGACCTAGTCTTAAACAACTATCTGATAAACATTCATTCGATCCATTGACGTCACCTAGATACCAACATTGAAGCGGCTATCAGTCTGTAAATTTCGGTTTAGTGATATAAACGGAATAAAGCCGGATCATTTCCATAATTCTAGGAGATCCGAAAGAAAGATACTGTTTACTCAAAGATATGTCCTAGTCAGGGAGACATATTTGGCTGACGATAAAACATATGCAGGAATATCAAGACGTTGCATCGACGCTTATCCAGTAGTAGTTGTCACAAGAAACGATCAAATGAGGTTCGTCGATAACCGTCTGCAAACTTTCTGCAAGAGACTATCCAGAAAACAAACGAAATATATCAAATTTCTACATACAGGCACGCGCAGTCTGTCTGCGCTGTCGAGGTTGCTTGCAATCAACCAATCCGTATAACAGTAATCCCTGCTGGTTCACAAGTGAAAGAAAGGGATATATAAAAATATGCACGCAAAACGCCGACCACCCTGCCGTAAAATAAAGAAATGGGTGCCTCAAGTCTATGCCGCCTATGCTGCCAAATGAAAGTCGTCGTAATGATTCGGTCGTAATATGTGCGAAGATGACTCGTCCGGTGCGCCGCGATATGCAATCAGTATCTTGGAGAGCTCCAGGTCACAACTGTCCCTACTAGGGCCCAACTCTAACGGGAGCTCCATAGGTACCAGACATGAGCTGGTTGAGAATAGAGTTAGGGTCAGAGGGACCTCCGGCTCCTGGGTTTGCATTGGCGCCCATCCATCCAACACTCGTGGACATGGCGTTGATTGCGGAGGCAAGACGATCGCCAGATTGTTCGTTATGTCGAGACAAGATTTGGTCCCATCCTCCAGTGTGCAAATTGAGACCGCCAGCCCTCTTGCCAGCCTCGTTGATGACAAGTGCCCAAGCCTTCGATATCTCCTCATATGCAGTTTCCTTATGATGTCGGTATGTCTGCGGCTCCCAATTGGGAAGTCTATGAATGATGTTTGTGGCCTCATCCAAGAATTCAAGTGATTTGGTAGGCTGGGTTTCATTTGGTGGGAGGAATTGAGGGGTGAAGTCAGATAGTGCGTCAATCAGAGCAACCAGCGGCTCTTTAATCCGATAGTAGGTGTATTCGGGACTGGTTTCGCCGTATGGAATAGCGTCCTTCAGTTTCGCCTCATAACCTTGCAAAACTTGCAGGGCGGACGGAACTGAAGGTCGAGGAGCTTGTGAGACAACTTCATGACCAATATCGGGATGGCTCTCGCATATGCGCTCAAGAACGGTTCTTAGCTGAGAAGTATCAAGAGTCTCGAGAAGTCGTGGAAGTGCAAGAGGTCGACCGATGACTTCGTTGGATCGAACTTTCTTGGAGGGTCGAGCGAGAGGTCGAGCAGAGATGGTAGGAGAGCTCCTGGGTGACATGGTCTCATCGCCATCTTCGTCGGCTTTTCGCTTTCGAGAGGTCATACTGTGAAAGGGAGACACTAAGTGTGTTAGTGGCAAAGAGCAGTCAGGGTGGAAGGGTTAAGTGAGTTATCGCATCTCGAATGGGGAATGGTTGGGACAATAGAGCACTTACGGGACCGCTGAGGGGAGAGACGAGGGTTTTCGTGTTGATGAGGGAAGACAGGAGGCTGCGGCGAGAGCAGAACATTCATATTGTCGCAAGTTCCAAAGCATCCAATGATGAAACGGGAGCGATCCTTGTTTAACAGTCAATGAATGAATAAATCACTCAAAGACAGTGCAAGCCGGCTTAATCAAAATTGATGACGAATATGTTTGCCGATAAAGAGGCTTTGTGTGCTGGCCGTTAAGACACCAGCGGTGGGTTCCTAGTGCTGGATGTTAGGAACCAAAGTTCCAAATTCTATCGTCGGTTGCGAGAAGACGAAATGGGTCGAGGGTCAGCGGTAAGCGCAGTGATTATATGACCGGAGCGTTTGTCGGGCAGAATTGTTGTACCAAACGATACGATATGTCAAGTGAAATAAAGGAATCGTGGCGGAGGGTGAATGGCGTAGAAAAGGGTTTTAGAAAGGTGGAGGAGGATGAAGAGGTGGACGGAACTGAGTGAAGTTGGGGTTGGTCAGGCTTTGAATGAGGGAGAGTTCCAAGGTTCCAGTGTTTTTGGTCCGTTGTCTGGGGCTAGTGAATTTTGCCTGGGCCTAGGTCGACGAGGTCACAAGACATCTCATTCGCTCTGGCCACACCTGAGGCCCCCGTCGCAAGCCGCCCAGGCCTGGTAGCCACACGTGAGCAGGGACCCGTTGAGGGGCATCTTCACAGTCCCCAGTATTAATTTAGCACCTTTTTGGGCTCAAGTGGCTGTTAGTTGGTTTCAATTTTCCTTCACCGCGCTGGCCGGGTCTTCGCCTCTGTGTCATGACTCTCGCAAACTTTCGTTCAGTGTCGATTCGGTATTTTCTTTACAGTTTATATTTCAGAAGCGGTATAGGATTAGGAAATTCGACGGGGTTCTTCACGGATATACCCACCAATCAACACCACGGCAAAGTTAAGATTAACTAAGCCCGGGCCGTCTTGACGGGGCCGGAACGGGTCCTTTTCCTAATTCGTCCGCCACAACCAGTCTTCGGCCGGCGACGGCCTCGGCGATGTATGTCGGGCCTGTATTCCTTAGGCCCCGGAGCGCCGAATAGCAGGCGTGAATGTTCTCATCAATGCATCGACTTATCAATGATGTCGACAGATTGACATGATCGCAATAACTCATGGTTGAGTCGCGATAAATGATACTAGCTAATGATGAAGATACAGATGGCATAAGTCCCATACAGGGCCGTAACTGTGGTAAGCTAGTTCCATGGATGATTCACTGGCAACTTTGCTTGATAAATTCTGCCATTGGATGTTTGGGCAGTTTCTGAGACAGCGAAACCCCTGTTACTATATTGGAATAGTAACACCGTCCAGGCGGTGAATGACATGATCTCCAGTTTATTTGTCCTGTTGCCAAGAAATGCGACATAATAGCAAATGATGTATTTAACTCCAGCCTCGATTGTTTCCACTTCTATGGTATTATCACCAGGCCCCCGGGGAGCAAGAAAACTTCTGACATTAAGCCAGTGTGCCAAAATTAGCTGGTCTAAAGGCCTGTTAAGATATACGAAACTTATCTAAGTCTTTTCGTCACTTAGGATAGAGGTTCTAAGTTGTGTTGCCTCCTCTAGCCAGGGGACTTAGGAAACAATATATTCTTGTCACAAACGTGATAGCATACTATATAGGTGGTACCTAGCTAGCCTGGAAGATTACTGCCTTGGTACTTGCCAATAGTGCACGGGCGCCATAATGCCACTGCTCCCATCCGCAAGCATCAATGCCCATAAATCGTTGAGTGAGTCTGTAACTTGGCTATTCATCTCATTGTTAGTATCGTGTTTCAGCACATGTTCAATAACTGCCCTTGACTGCCCTCCTCATCACCTTTACAGAGGTTAAATAAGCTTACTGTGTTGGGGCTTGGCACCACACTGTGAGAAGTTGACTCTCCCTCACTGCTCAGCCCAAAGTACTCAAATCTCACTCAAGTCTTTTCCCTTGTTGAACAATCTGTAAGCTTCTCCCTTATTCCGGGGGGTTGATTTCTTCAACGCGGCGGACAACGGACAACGGACAACACATTCAATCGGTACTTGACAGGCCCACAATCGGAAATGCCCTTGCCTTCCAGGTTTTCAAGGGTCCAGCTTCGGGCCGGCAGACCCACTTCTCCGAGTTTCTTATCGCTTATCGCAACGAAACAGGCAGAAAATTTCTGGCAACTTTATCCTTAGACTTGCCTGTCAACCATCACCTACAACCACAATGGCGACAAAGGAAAAGAAAGAGAAGAAGTCCAAATCTTCTAGGTCGGAATCAAAGACCGAGAAACCCGAGAAGACTGTCGAAGTTGAGAAGGTCGACTCCACAGAAGATACTGAGATGGCAGAGCCTGAAGCCGCCGCATCCTCTTCCAAGCGCAAAATCGAAATCGAAGAAATCGAAGTCGACGTAGACGCACCCGAGCCCCCGTCTAAGCGCGCAAAGCGTGCGCTCAAGAAGGGCAAGGCATTGCCTTCGAAACAGGACAGCGATGACGAGAAGAAGGGCGATAAAGATGGCAAGGATAAGAAAGCTGCTCGGTCAGAGCATAGTGTCTGGATCGGTAACTTGCCATTCCATGTCACGGCTATGGAACTGCGGAAGTGGCTTGTCGATAACTCCGGAGGTGTCATCACTGAAGAGATGATCACTCGAGTCAAGCTACCAACCAACAAGGAACCTGGCCGGGATAAGAGCGTCAAGCCAGCAAACAAGGGATTTGCCTACGTCGATTTTACAGAAATTGGCCCTAAAGTCTCCGCCATCTCTCTCACGGAGAGTGACCTTGGTGGTCGAAAACTTCTCATCAAGGATGCGACATCCTTTGAGGGTCGGCCCAAGAAGGAGCCTGAGCCCACTGAAGAGAACACCGCAGAGGGAAAGACCAGCAAGGAGCAAAGGCAGGATGTCAATGCCAGCCGCAAGATTTTCGTGGGTAATATGAGCTTCAAAACAACTGAGGAGGACCTATACAGAAACTTTGAGAAGTGCGGCGAGATCGAATGGGCCAAGGTTGCTACCTTTGAGGATACTGGGAAGTGCAAGGGCTTTGGTTGGGTTAAGTTCCAGGACCCCGATGCTGCTGCATGGGCCGTTAAAGGTTTCGTCAAAATTAAAGAGGAAGTCGAGACAGAGGAGGATTTCAAGGACGACGAGGAGAAGGACAGGTCGCAGCAGAAGCAGTTCAAGACACGTAAGTGGTGGGTAAACCGAATGCTAGGTCGCGAGCTTAAGGTGGAATTGGCCGAGGATGACCAAGTACGGTACAAGAAGCGGTTTGGCAAGGATCGCAAGGCACTTCCCGACAAGGACAGCAACCCACGAGGTCGACCTCCGCCACGCAAGTATGATCAGACAAATGGCGGAGCGCGGGAAAGTAATGACGCTCCTGAGGGGGGTGCGAAGCCGCTCAAGGAGGCAGAGGATATATCTGTTGCGAGATTGACGGGCGCGGTTGTGAAGCATACGGGTACGAAGATGACGTTTGACTAAGTACAGCGAGATACACTCCATGTTCCGAGATACCCATTTATAGATCCAATGGTTCCTGGTGTCCGATGTGAAAAGATGTATTCGTCATGTGTGAGAGTTACGCGTGGGGGCTCTTGCGAATTAGTTGCAGCTCCGTTATAGATCCGGAGGCCCGGTGCAATTTCCCCGCATTTACATGCTAGCGATCTCAGTCCTGAAATGAGTGTCAGATACAAGAGATGCAATATTCATTCACCTCCCGTAGCAATTCATCATGTACCAGTCTCAGATCACTTTCGTTATGGACACCATTTGTCCTTGGTATGATGCCTTTTCGAAGAGAAGGAGAAACATGGCTAATATATCTCAGGACGTACCTTGGAAAGAAGAGGTATATCGCCCATCTTAGTGGCTCACCTTGACTTCAATAATCGCTTAACGTCTCGGCTACAGACTTGATGAGGCCTTGACTCGGTTCCGCTCCTCGCCCTTTTCATCCTCCATCTCCTTCACGCTCCATTTCGCGTCTTATCAGCCCAATCCAACCCGTCCTGAAACAATCCCGGACCGAGCTGCATATGCCCTGCATAAGAAGCATAATGACAATCAAGAGGCCCAGAAAATCTTCGAAGAGCACATGCTCTCACTTGCGCAGCCACTAAAACTTCCCATAGCCTTTACGGGACCAACTGGTAACTCGTTTCCTGCACATCGGGTTATCCAACAAGTTCAGGAGTCCCATGGAGCTGAAGTAGCGAACAACCTCGTGGACGCGGTGTTTAGGCTGTACTTTGCGGAAGGCCGACATCCTGGTGCTGACGATATGTTGGTCGAGGCATGTGTTGAGGCTGGTATAGACGAGAAAGTGGCAAAGAGCTTAGTGGAAGATAAGTCCAGAGGTGAAAGGGATACCAAAGAAAAGATCAGAAGTATCGGTATGGATATCGATGCCGTGCCGACTGTAGTCATTGAGGGGCGAAGGAGAGACTTGACACTCACGGGCCTGAAAGAAGTCTCAGACTATATCAAGGCTATGGAGGCAATCACCAAAGAAAGTTCATGATTAGGGATGCTTATGATGAGAGGTAGCTAGCTCATTGGTCATAACATAATATTCGTGTTCCTTGGAAAGAAATGCTAATAGTAAATACATGAAGAAACGAAGGACATGGTATCGTTATTACAAGAGTTTTACCACTATCTCCAAGTGCTCATCATCATTTCATTCATATTTCTCGTGCTGCGTTCACTTCATGAGCGACTGAACATAAGGGGTACCAATACACTCCGACTCTCCAATGCTCTTCGATCCTCCATGACCATGCCGGGGCCAAATGCCGTACCAATATCCCGACCTGCCAGAAAGCGACATGCGTTAGCTTCACCGACACGAGGTTTCTTGCTATGACAGAACTCGCGGCTTAGCTTGGACAGGACAGCGGCCTTGGCCTTTTGCAAGGCGCTCACTCTCGCGGCAGCATCTTCGGCTAAAAGACGGTGAGTCTCTTCCTGTTCAATATTGCGCTGAACAGGAGATATGCCTTCATCCGGGTCTCGACTGGTATTCTTCCTTGCAGTTGGGTCGTAAGTTGTGGGTTGTAGCAGTACGGGCTGGGGATCACTGATCAAGAGCGGGGCGGTGATGTTGGGGACAGGAGTTGAGGGGCGGAAGATGTGTTCCTCCACAGAAGGTTGGAGTCGAGGACGAGAGGTCTTGTGGCGGCGTGATAGGGAGTTTTGGGAGGACTTGGGTGAGGAAGACGGTGTTTCAGGGGCGTCGTCATCACTGCTGCGATGCTTCCTTCTGCGGCGACGAGAGCGCTTCTTTCTAAGTTTTGTGCTGAAGCCGGCATCTGATTCATATACAGGGGCAGAAAGATGTTCATCGACAGTGATCTCTTCGGTAGGGACGTCATCAATGACTTCGTTTTCAATATCGCCGAAGGGGAAACCACCGAGGTCCATGTCCAAGAGCTCGCGACTAGCGGCAGTTACAGCAGCACTTGGGCTAGGAAGATGTTCTGAGCTGGGACTTGTAACAAGACTGTATTCTGATTGGGCGGTCATGCTGTTGCTTCGAGACCATGAATCGTCAGTGTCGATGGGCGCAAGGACGTCGTCCCAATTGCCATTGTCAGCAAGAACGACACTCTCGAAGTCGAATTCTTTGACTGTTGGGCGGTGTGAGTTAATCAAGTTGCTGAGTTGAGGTGCGTTCATAACAGCGTTGCGAACTTGAAGGTATCGCAATTTTGGGAAGTAAATGGCCCCCTTTCCAGGAGTCTCGGGTAAGGGAGACATAGGAGATGTGACCTCGTGGAAAAGTTTCTTGGAGGCACGTGGCGGTGAGAACAGGGGATCAGCAGCCAGAGCAACTGGGCAAGGGCCTTTGCGACCAAGCCATGTGAAGGCGAACTTCTCTAGATTGGGAGCAAAGGTGCGGATGTACTCATCCAAGATCTTCAAATGGTCACGGCCAGGCGATGTTCCATAAAAGTCCCAAGCATCCACCGAGATGGAGAGCTTGTTGATCTGGCGCCAGCGTCTTCCGGCCGATGGGACCGTTCCAAAGCCATTGACGTGACGAAGGTAGTTGAAAGCCGCAGGATGCAGTTGAGAAAGGGACAACTTGTGAAGCTTCTCTAGAGGAGCACGCTCAAGGGAGATACGCAAGCTGATAAGAGCATAGTCGACAATGTCACGGCGATATCGCTCTCTAGGATCCTGTCCAGGGCATCTGATAGTCAGATGGCGCATGTTGGTCAGACTGCGCATGGCGTTGATAAAGCTAGGGACATTGGTGGCAGCATGAAAGAGAGGAGGATACTGCTGCGTAAGGATGTCACCAAGCTCAGCGTTGGCGTACTTGGGCCGAGAGAGAACAGAACCCATGCTCGTGTGAGGGGTATATAGGAAGCATATCTCGTTACCAGAAACGGGATGAATGAGAGGGGGGAGAAAAGTAGCGTCCGAATGCGGGAAGTAGAAGGTAAGATGCTCAATATGATGGCCGATACGAGCGAGAGCAGCAACTCGAGCTGACTTGGTAAAGGTCGAGGCTGAGAAGGAGACGTGGATGCGGGTGAAGATACGCTTAGTAAGGAGGTTACAGCAAGCCGATGAAGATTGACGGACGTTGCAGAGGTCGGTGGATGAGAGGTGAGGAAGAAGAGAGTCCTTAATGTGGTCACTTCTCAAGATGGCGAGAAATAGTTGTTCTGTTGAGGACGCCATTGTAATCGCATGTCGCGGAGGACTTTGGCCTCGTAGATCAGTCGCTTATGTTTGATACCTATTGGTGCTCTCAAGTGCCGGTGCAATGGTGATGATGATGTAAAATGGTGTGATATCAATTTTCTGATCCAAAACAAGGTTGAGTCTTTGTTGTAAGTCGAAATGGGCTGTTACTCAAGTAACAACAGTCAATGGAGAAAAGGGCAAGTAGATGAGGATAGTAGTCAATGACGACGGTCTGATAAGTCAACAACAGATAGAATAATATCGAGCAGATTTGTTCAATTACAGTGAATCAAAAAGACAAGAAGACCAAGTCAGTCAGCCCATGAGCGCCGGGTCCGGGCGGCCGAGATATATCTGTATCTGTCTCGCTACGGTCCCTGAGATCAGCCTCGTTCTTTTTCTGCCTCAAAGGAAAAGAGAAAAAATGGAAATTCCCCTTTCCCAACTCCATTCTCTTGCTTTAGCCTCTCTGCCAGCTGCAGATTCGTGCATTGGTCCTATCCTATCGCGAGATGTCACCCTCTACCAGCGACGACTGGCTGTCGGTGACTCAGAAGCTCAAATCACCCTGGTCGTGTCCAGATCGAGGTATCCATACTTGTTCGCGTTGGACTGGACGTTGGATGACTGACCGACAACGCGTTGCGATCGTTTCATGATTGGTTGGCTCATCGTGGTTTGTTCTGCCGCTATCCTTGTTGCTGCAGATCTGCCGCGAGGGGATCATGGCATTGTACTTCGGGAGTACTTTGCTAGCCTCGAGATCAACAACCACTCGCGAGACCAGCTGCAGACACTTTCGATGCAGATGCTTCCTAGTTTGAATCTCGCCACTTCTATCAGGTACACTCCTCCTCTTCTCCAATGTTCCATTGATCCTTCAGTTCAGGCCTCCCACATTCTCGACACAAAGTATCTTAGAAGTACTTTCCAATGCATCGGGTGTTTATCGATAGCGCTTCTCGATTGTGGGGATGGTCACCCTTCCACGTCTTAGAAACATGCATATGTTATTTGACCAATCAATTGCGTGACCAAGAACGCGGTAGTCGCGTTGTTTCAACCATGCTTGTCGCGCCATGATTGGCTATTCTCACAACACTCGACTTCCATCGTGATGTAAGTCATCGGCGGTAGGTAGGTATCTTGACTTTTAAACAAAGCGGGACGGGACGATGGGAGTCAAGTTCTGCGCTGTTTCCTGTGGGTTCCTGAACTGCAAGATCTCATTTTGGAAACTGTCAGAGTCTAAGTTCGCTCAATCTAGCATTTGAGTGTGAATCATACCATTACAGGATATCAACTATTCATCGCCGAAACTCGTATGTCTGCCCAAAACGCATCCAAGGACGAATCATGCAGGTTTCCCTCGCAGGCGAGACGTAAATGCGCAACACACATCAAATGCATACAGCACATCTTTCTGCTAGCATGTCATCCATTCGTTGCCATCCATCCCAGCCCATCATATCCTTGTTGGTACAACCTTGCTCTCAAAAAGATCCATTGAAAGCAAAGGTTGAGAAAGCCCCAACCCTAAAACATGCATCTCCATTAAGCTTCTTGCTCTCTCTCCACCCATCCCTCAGCACAGCCCTGTATGAACGGGCCCTCTAGATGACTACCTCTTAGACAAGACTAGTAAACGACACAATTCTATCGCGTCCGGACTCGTGGCAATAGGTCCCTGGCTACACTCGGGGCACTGTGAGTATGCTTCGCGAATGTGATGCTGCATTGTCACGAGTTCTTGTCACACAGACAACCCCCCGTCTTTTTCCTGAGGGGACCTCGTTTAACTGAGTGCTGTCCCTGACACCTATCTGAAGATGCAGTTCCACTTTCGGGGGTCTCCGGTGAGATAGCAAGTTGGATTTTTATCTCAAATACTTGCTTCCACTTGAGAAGGGGGGTTGTATTCAGCCAGGCGCAAAAACTCTAGTGAAAAGACGACTTGTGGTGTCTGTCTGCAAACTACGACCAGTATCCGGCCCTATGCATAACCCTTGTCCATCAATGCATTGACGAGAAACTGTGTGATTAAGCTAATGGATACAAGATATTTCAACTCACGTTGCCATTTGAGCTTATTGGCATATTCAAGGTACGGCCCTCATTCGTAACGTATGTTTATTCATAGCTTGAAAACCACTGAGGATCGTGGTTCACTGTTGTTTCCCGTTTTGTTTCAAGAGCAATGGCCAATATGAGTGCCAGGTACTGTATAAATCAAGCACATGCTGGTGGGTATCAAAATCGAAAAGCCCGTTCGCCAAGTCTGGACAGGTCCCGCTCTGGGCGGACAGCTCGGCTTTTGTGCGCCAACCAATTCGTAGGATGCCCTACTCTAAAAGCATCACAACTCTCCATCGTCTCTAGTTCAATTCCAACCAATGTATGTGTGTTGGTGCTTTGTTCAAACCACAAGCATTTCATCTGCCCCTCCCTCTGCCCCTGCCCCGTCCACGACCTCCACGACCTCCACGTCCACCTCCTCTAGGCTTGGACCCTTGTGGCCCGTTGCTAGCATGCGACCTCCCGGGTCCCTGAGAGCCTTGGTGAGATGGCGGGGGGACGTTCCTATAGTCTTGGGCAGGAGGCTTCCTGGGCAGTGATGGAAATTGCCTGGACGGAGCACCCGGTGGAGGGGGGTACCCAAAGGACCCTCGCATGGGCGGTAGTCCAGGGGGAGGCCCAGGAGGGAGAGGAGGTTGGACTGGCGCGCCATTGTGTCTGTTATGTCGTCTCGACCCTCCGTTTTGCATGTTTGGCATCTGAATGTTACTGGCCATTCGAATTTGGCCGATCGCTGGCTTCTGAACGCGTTTGTGGCCCAGAAACTCCACTTCCGAGTCGTCGCTCTCTGAGTAGTGAACATTGGTCGTTCGCGCAGCGTGACCGCGAATCTTAAGGTCGGGGGTTCTCGTGGTCCTTGCATTTTGCTGTCCTCCCGTCTCCCCTTCGATCGGCACTGAGCCACAATCGGGGTCAATATATTGATCGCGGTTCTTTACAGACCATGTGGGATTAGAGAGGCCATTGCGGTGCGCATTGCAGTCCGAAGAAAAGTGCCTATCACTACCGCATACAGCGCAAGATGCAGGAATAAACGCAACTTTTCTGACCGTAGATACATCCGGGTCAAACGATCGCCACACCTGTGTACATTGTTCCTCAAGATGTTCTATTGAGCTGCAAAAGACACAGGCAAGACCTTCTTCCTTTGTCAAAACCAGTTTCTCAGTGCATTGGCCTGCTTGGTGGCCAAGTTGGCGGCATTTGTTGCATCGTTCCTTTTCAGGGCAACAGATTTTTGAGTGTTCTAAACTTCCACATGAAGAGCAGATAAGGGATGGACAGCTAGGTGCCAGATGTGTGTTCAGCCCACAGAGAAGACACATCTGGGCAGGATCGTCGGCTGACGGGAAGTATCTGCGCTGTTGTGCCAATGCATTATCACCGGTGGGAACATTCCGGTGAGTGTTAATCGGTGGTAAGCTCTGGCAATTTGAAACTTTGGATGTTGAGTTGCCGTTTGCATGTATATTCATGCCTGATGAGTACTCTTCCTTGGCATCTTCTCCAATCCTCTCACTCTTGCTCAAGGTTGGTTCGTACTCAGCTTCGCTCTCAGAGCCATCCTCGTCCCTTTCGTCAATTTCCCCCTCGCTTACGCTAGACGCGCGTGGGTTTTTACCTCTGTTGAAAGGTTCCGGTCGGGGCTGCCTTGTCGCCCAGCTGTCCAGAGTTGACTGATTAGGTCCGCAATCGCTTGAGGAATGGAGGTTTCGAAGCAGAGCCTCTAGTTCGCCAGTGCTTTCGAGCTCCTTTGCAACTTGCTTCGCATTCTTCCTCTTCTTGGGCTTCAAACCGGCATGACGATCGATATAGTAGACATAAGCAGAGTAAGTTAATGATGAGGTGATGGCATCACACTTTCCCGCATTGAGGGCGTGGAATGCCTTGACCCAGTCCTTGAACCGTTTAAGCCAGGAACCGCCTTTCTTATCCACGAGATTGGGTACTTTGAAGCTAACCCTGCCTTGCTTGTAGTCGGGGATTTCACCAGAATCTTCGGGTGCAGATTCACCAGATGAGCTTGACTGTGCTGAGGACTTGCCAGCGACTATCGACTCTTCGTTGGGCTTCGATCCTTCTACAGATGACTCCTCAATTCTGGAGACTTTGGCCGCACGCGCATGACTCCTCAAGCGCTTGGGCTCAGGTGTTGGATCATCCTCGAGAGGCCTTTTCTTGGCAGCTGCCGCTGCTTCGTCTCCGCTGGACAAGTAAATGACCTCACCTGGGTCAAATTCTTCATCTGCCATGCCGATGCGCAATAGGGTCCGGCGCGACTCTCTATATGGTACCAGCAGCCCTTATTGAATTTGAGAGACGTGCCAGCTTGACCGTAGTATCGTATGCGAGTCTGCGGGCTTCAGACCTTGGCGCATCCGACTCAACAAGAAACTCAAACTCGAACAGAATTCTCAGCCACTCGGCTTCTTCAAAATTGTTCGTGACTATCCTGGTCAAAGAAACTCAATCAACAATGCTCACCTACAGTCACAGAGAGCGCGGATGCATCCCAGTCAAGATCTAGCCATAAGGTGGTGCGATGAACAATCATACACAGCCTCCATTTGGCTTGATGAAAGCTAGGGGCTTCCAGGTGCGAATGCATCTATGAACGTACCTGAGCGTCGCGGATGGAAATACCACTTCCGAAAAGAGTCTGCCAGCAATACAAAAGCGTTTGTTCACGGCTTATGAAACTTATGATGGTTCCGTAGTTGAGAGTTTAAGTTTCGCAGAGACAAGATGCGATGAGGTTGTCTGACTGTGCCAGGAAGATGTGAAATGAAAGCTGTGATGATATCGATAAAGCAGTTAAGTTAAGTTAGATCCCAGTTGGGAGAAAATTCCGCAGCCAGCCTATCGGAGATGCAGGCCCACAAGTGAAAGACGGTGTCCCAATTTCCGTGGCTATATTTAATTCCGAAGATTATCCAAACCTTCAGGGTAACCACCTAATCCGGGCTATTACATGAGTTACCATGAACGCCTAGATGTTCTGAGAGACATTCGATGTCAGCCGATTTCCAACGATGCCTACGCGCCAGTTGAGGTATCGTGGGTCTATATCAGCTGTCTTGCCTTCTGTTTCGTGGTCATACTTGTAGATGTTAAGATGGTGACGACGACCAGTCGGTCAGAACACAGTCCATGCCAGCCGCTTTTTCTGCAACATTGACACGCCATTCCACACCAGCTCCGGATAATCATGGATGATTTTTTCTCATCTCGGGTAAGACATAGATTCTATATATCGCACTGCAATCTCGCTGGTAAATCTGATACCCATGGAACCTTGCCAGATCTCGCTTGCCCAGGCTTGTTGCAACGTTTCCACGGTTCACGGGAAAACAATGTGATTATCCTGACAAACCTCGCATGCCAAGCAATCGCACAAGTCATATCTCATTCAGATATCTTAATTGCCGTTTCCTGTATATCAAAACACCTAGACTGCTCTGAAAGACTTTGGCGTCGCAGGTCGTATTGGCATTGAATCCCCATTCTTATCCGACTAGCCTCGTTCTGGTCAAATTTCGGATTCCTGTACCTTCTAGGTTCTCTGGACTTCAAGACGGGCAAAACCCCTGTTCTGATCGAATCGTTGACTTCTCGATTCTAATCACCACGAGATACAGATATCTAAGTCGAGTTGGTGATACCGTAAGTCCCCCCTAAAGAATTCCCGCGGGTTCCTAGGTCCGAGCCTTCTATTGGAGGTCCCCTGAATAGAAACCCTCCCGGACTAACCATGCTCCAGTGAACTACTGCTGCAAGCTCACCCGCTACGATCACTAATTTCAGCAGTGGGCTCCACTGTTCCGCCTAACCCGACCTACCCTGCGAAGTAGCCCCGTTGCTCGTTCTGGTTGCATTGCGTGTCCCTTTCTCTTGCTGGCTGATAGGCTGCTGCTCCTTTCCATCTCATGAGAGTGGCTCCTCCTGCCTTGTCCAACATCATACGGGGGACATTGAATGTTCCGGTTCGGCGGCCCCTCTCATCTCGTCCAGTCCTTTCATATCCATTCCCTTGATCCAATAACTTTCTACTGTCTGCTATTCTCGACTATTCTATTCTGCGCTCTACATCTTCTTACTTTGCTCTATTATCGCGTTTGACCGACTACACCGTTCTCGTTATTTAGCATCAAACATACACGCCAGCTCTCTTTTGCCCTTGCATTGGCCTCGCATTTGCTTGCCTCCGAACGCCTTCGCCGTGACATCATTAGGGGGAGCCTCTGCAGCTACTTATCTTTGAACTCAAACCGATAGTGAAATCCATCTTTTATCGACAACGCAAACTCTGGGTGTTTGCACCCGTGTTGTTCCCCGCCGACCCTCCCCTCCTCCCACTCGACTTGCGCTTTCTGCAAATTGACCCCGTCAATACCGCCAAGCTGTCTTCCCCAATCTTACTCCAGCGCACCGTCTCCTACGACGCGGCGAACAAGCCTCCGCGTCGGGGCAGCATCTATCTCAACATGCCCGAACGAAACGCAGCGGGGGGAGCTGGGGCCCGAAGGAGGAGATCTAGCAGTATCCTCCAGGTTTACCATGAACCTCCCGAGACTCTTGAGCAGATCAGCGACCAAGCTTCTCTGCCTAACCTCAACGCCAACTGGACAAATGCTAAAGGTATATCTGGCCCCTTTTGCCGCGCATCTGTATCTTCATTTGCACAATAGTTACCGAGAGCCACATGCTAACGTGTATTGCCCCTTAGGTGCCTGGACCATTCACTTCGTCCTGATCGTGTGCGCCAAAATCATATTTGACGCCATCCCTGGTGTCTCGCAGGAGACTTCATGGACGCTTGTCAACATGTCATACATGTTTGGGTCCTACATCATGTTCCACCATGTTCGTGGCGTTCCCTTCGATTTCAACAGTGGCGCGTTCGACAACCTCAATATGTGGGAGCAAATTGACAATGGCGCGCAGTATACGCCCACCAAGAAGTTTCTTCTCGGTGTTCCGATTGCACTGTTCCTCGTCAGCACCCACTATACGCATTACGACTTGACATACTTTACTATTAACTTATTGGCTGTCCTGGGAGTCGTCATCCCTAAGCTTCCCTTTGTACGTTGCCGTGCCACCCCTCTATTTGTCTGCGTCTCTGCATCCATGACATGTCTTCTTTGTTTTGTTTGCATAACATACTTTTCCGTGGGCGTCATATGCTAACACAAGCTCAGAGCCACCGAATGCGATTTGGGCTGTTCTCAGGTCCACCGGAGGAATAGGAGACCGAATAGAGAGCAGAAACAGAAGCAGAAGCAAAACAACTACCGCGGGTCCGATTTGCTGTATTAGTATCAGGGGCGTTAGGGTAAGATTATCTTTGGCGAGAAAGAAAATGGAGGGATTGCGAAAAATAAGAAGAGGTCGAGATTGTGCAAGTCGATAGCGAGCAGAATTTACAACGCGGCTGATGGGCGGAGTGTTCGGTCGTTCAGCGGTAGCTTCAAAACAGCAATTGGATTTGGACATCGGCATATTTTCTCAACATTTTGCCATCCCTTGTTCCACTCGATGTTCGCTCCTCATCTATTACCCTTCGATTCATCCGCCTCCTTACACTGACAGGATGGTGATGAACTCTGCCGATCGGCTTCTCCGTGTTGACGGGGAATGCTCATAAATATGAAGTCATTGGATTGTCCTCAAAGCATAAACGAGTGTTTACCGTCTCATGGAGTCTTGATCATACGAGGAGGCAAGCCCAGAGATGATTCCATGGCGAGATGGCGTTCCGTCTCCTAGGCAATTGGATTCTCCTGTCGTATCTCGGAGTCATATTTGCAGTGCAAGTTCCCCTCCTTTGAAAGATCATGGACGGCATACCAAGTATAAATCAAGAACCTGGTCCCGGCTGCTTTGCTCTTCCCAGGAGTTCTCCAGCTTCCTCAGTTATTTAAGTATACTTCAAACAAAGTTCTCCGCTCTCCTTTGCGTTTACTTCTTGTTTAAAAACATTGCAGTACATCAACATCAGCATGAGATACAACGCCTTTGCCTTTATGGCCCTTGTCAACGGCCTCGCTCAGGCCAATCGTTTCGACTGGCAGAGCGAGTCTAAGGCCGACGTTGCCAAGCACGGGCACAAGAACACTGCCGCCCCTGTTTTTAAGGTGGAGGTGAACGAGGGTCACCGTGCTGGCAACAAGGGTCAACTCGAGGCTGGGAAACTGAAGAAAGAAGAGGAGAAAGCCGAAGAAGAGGCCAAAAAGCTGGAGGAGAAGCTTCAGAAGAAAGAGGACGAGCTTGAGCTCGAGGCTGCCCAGGCTGGAGGGAACCGCCATCACCACCACACCCACCCCTCATCCTCCCCTGATCCTACCTACGACCCTGCCACAAAGACTACTGGATATCATCACCATCACTCAGGTCACCTCCAAAAGGGGCCTTACACGCTTGATGGAGAGAAGTTCGACTATATCCATAAACCCAAGGTTCACTTCCACACTTCTTACACTACCCACGCACCTACTCTCAGTCCCGGATGTGTCGGTGACAAGTGTGCTCGTAAGCCTTGCAAAGAATGTAATGGCAACTGGGCACAGCCTGGCTGCTGGCACTGCAAGAATCATGGAGCCACTGGTGAGGAGGCTGCTGAACAGGCAACGAAAACCACCAAGCATGCTCCTGAAAAGACCAAGGCCAAAGAGGAGAAGGAGGAGAAGGATCCTCATGCAAAGACATACACGCATGGAGACAAGACTGTCATTGTTCCCAAGGAGACCAAGGCCCCTGAAACTAGTCGGCCTGAAGCTCCTCAGATTGAACAAACTCATAAGGAGGGCCCCAAGTTCATTGTCATCGAGAAGCCCAAGAAGGAGTCTGAGGAGGAGAAGAATTTTGAAGAGAAGAAAGAGGAGAAAAAGAAGTACCCCGACGAGAAGCCCAAGCATGATTATCCCAAGGAGGAGCCCAAGCATGAGAACATCTGTAACAAGGCACATCATCATGGCCAGCCCAGCATCTGTGACAAGATCAAGCATCAGCACAAGGATGAGCACCACAAGGTCCACGAACCTAAGAAGGAGGACATCTGTGCCAAGTTCAAGGGCTGCCATCCCCACGGTCAGGCTCCCGCTCCTGCTCCCGCTCCCGCTCCCGCCCCGGCTCCTCATCATGAAGTGAAGCCTGGCCCCGCACCCGCCCCAGCTCCTCATTACCCTGAGCAGAAGCCTGAGATTGAACCTGCCCCCATCCCGGCCCCTGGCCCTCATTATCCCGAGGTCAAGCCTGTGCCGATCCCAGCTCCAGCTCCCCAACAGCCTGAGCAGAAGCCTGGAGAGGTTCAGCCCGCTCCGGCTCCGGCTCCAGCCCCTGCTCAACCCGAAGGAGCCAAGCCTGAAGAAGGCAAGCACGGCAATGCTCCCTCAGTTCCTATAACAGTGCCCAAGTCTGGAGCCACCTACAACCACGTCTCTGTCGGCATCGCCGTCTTTGCAGGTATTGCCAGCATGATGCTTCTGTGAGCTTCAAGTTTAGTCTGGTACGAAAGTGAGCTGAACGAAGCATCACTGAAGGGATTTGTTGGAAGCGGGAAGATGATGTTTATCAAAAATTGGTGTTATGTCCGCAAGATCTTTGGAGTAGGGCCTTTGAGATTCTCTTTGGATTCATAGATGACTAGTAGCCTTCAATTGATCGTCCCCTCCTTTTGTTTCACTTTCCTCACACAATGATGAGAATAACATCCGTCAATTGCCCGTTACTCAGCGGGAATTTAGTCGGAATAAGCATCGGATAGAGAGACATACCGCCGACCTGATGCTTTGTCATTCCAAGCTGACGTCAATGTACCAACCAGTGCGGGGGAGGATCTCCTCGACGCCCTGTAGACGGCGACTTCCTCTGCCACTATGGCACATTCCCGTTAGGGAAAGGCACGATATTTGACGACCTCATATGTCGTAGGAATTTATGGGATCTGACATACAATCTCTATTGGGGACATTGTTATTAAATCTTATGAGCCAAATAATATAAAAGTTTTCGAGACATCAAGCCATGCTCCCGTTATCTTGACCGTCATTTCCCGGCTGGCTGGAGTTCGAACAGGTCTTGTTGGACTCTGTACTACTGGCAGAACCCCCTCCTTCGTGGACATTTTTATCTCCGAGCTACAGTACCGAAGACCAATGTATAAAACAACGCCTTCAGGTTTCATTTACTTCCTCTGACACCCGAGGCCACCAGAAAACAATCTACTCCACAATCAAGCCAAGATGAAAGAAAACAGCACTCCTCTTTATACCTCGCCTCAGCTGGGCCAAAAAGTTACTGACTACGCAGAGCAACACTCGACGCCGTTGCCTAAGCACATCAGTGATTACCATGCGGATATTTCTGCCAACAGAGAGGATTCTTACTATATGAGCTCTGTTTTTCAGTCTCAATACAATACCTTTCTTGCAAAATCCATTCGTGCCACAAGGGGTAGGTCAAGACACCTTAACATGGAACTGGATTCCTTGAGGCTTTTCTCATCAGCTAGGAGAACCAATACTGATCACCATTCAATAGTTCTAGAAATCGGCGTCTATGTTGGCTTCTCTGCTCTCGTCTGGGCTGACGCTGTAGGACCGAGTGGACTTGTGACTGGCTTGGAGTTCGAGCCTGAGTACGCCGAATTATCCAAGAAGGCTTTCGCAGCAAACGATGTCAATAATGTTGAGATCATCGTCGGCCCTGCTTCCGAATCGTGAGTTATTCATATATGTATCATGTTACACCACAAAATCACTGATGGTCGAATAGTTTACCCAAACTCAACCCCGCCGAGCCCTATGATCTTGTATTCATCGACGCAGATAAGACTGGATATCCAGGATATTTGAAGCAGCTGCTCGAGCTGTCGAAGCCTGGTAACTCGAGCAGAATCCTCCGGCCAGGCGCTCTCATCGTCTCAGATAATGTGCTGCGCCGAGGCTTAGTTGCAGACGACAAGGCGCTGGGTGACGACGAGCTCAAAGGCGATCAATTGAAGAATGTTTTAGCTGTGAGACAGTTCAATGATTTGGCACTGCAGAGCCCACGACTTGAGACATTTGTTCTGCCGTTGTGGGATGGCGTCAATGTCTCCCGTCTTCTTGATTAGTGGTAGCACTGTCTCGATTGGAGGGCAATCAGGATGGTGTATAGTTATATATATTAGGGTTAAATAAATACAAAAGCAACAAAAAATATCGCCGTGACATATGCCACACTGGTATCGTCTCCATAAATCTCCTACGAACTTCATGATCTCATATTTGAATACTCATTTCTGGGTATTGGTAAATTCCAATTCTCGTTATTAACCACCTCTTTCCGATTGGCGGTAGGTGTCTGAGCATGACGAACACTATCGAAATTTAAATTGTTTGATTAGTAGCGGGTAGGAGAAGAGTTGTAGGCTGCCATCTTCTTGTTCTCGCGGTTGCGGCGACGACGGCCAGAACAGCAGGTGACGAAGACGGTGATGGTGCCAATAAGACAGAGAATAGCGGCGGCGAGGACGAGCCAGATACCGACAGACCAGCGAGCACTGGCAGAGGTGTCTCGGTTGATACGTCGTCTGACAATGGAAAATCCAGCAAAGTCACAAGCCAGGGCAATGATAGTAACAAAGAAGGCCAGGAGTGAAACAAGCGTAGACATGAGAGAGCCAAAGATGCCGGCACCGAGAGCCAGAAGGAAGGCAATGAAACAAAGTCCAGCACCAATAGGATGCAGGACCATGACATAGGTTAGGGCCTTTGCAGTGTCTGAGCCAGCATTGGAGAAGTTGGTGCCGGCGACTGCATTTGAAGGGTCGTAGCCAATGCGAGCCTTTGTACAGCTATCACTATGGTTTGTTAGACGACGAAATCAGACACAGCGTATATATGTGATATAAACTTACCTCCCGCTACTTCTTGTGACACAATACCCAAAAGTTCCAAAATTTACCCCATTTCCTCCTCCAGAGTTACCGTTCAAGTTGACCTTGAGGAGGGCAATGTCATTGACAACAGGAGCTGTAATGCTCACGACAATGAGCATGACTGTTGCTGCCAAGAGAAAAAAGGCACCGATATGGTGGATGAATCGTCCGAGGCCCATTTTGATGGTGTTGGCGTAGTTTGGAAATAGTGGTGGTGTTGAGTGTCTTCTGCTTAAGTATTGCAAGAAATTATACAGTTATTAAAAGGAAACGAATCCGGTTGCCGATTGGAAGTGGTGTAAGACAATACGAAAATCACAGGCAAGAAACCGAGAGAAGAAGGCCAAGATATATAGTCATTCAAGTCGTGTGAGGGTTCCCATGCCATGGATTCGTGGACCCAATGCCAGGAACTAACATTGTGCAGAGTCGTTACGTGAGACGTCATCACTAAGCCCTGTTCCAGGTCTCGTGTGTGCCGAAATCCGCCATGATCAAAGCCAAGCCAGGCTATATCGTAGTATAGCATCCTCGTCGCAAGAAGCCGGCTCTACTACGTAGTGACGTAGAGTTGGTGGCTTTGGTCGAATCGTGGCTCATCTACCGGGGTGTGGGCCGCCCCGAATTTCTTGATTCGGGTGTCTCTTTCATGTTAATCAGATCAATCTTGGCCCTCTGACCCTGCATTTCAAACCAGACTAACCCACCCGGGTCAGATCATAACCAAGATCCTTGTTTGGATGCTTTGCTTGTTTCTTTTTCCCAATCAGCGTCACACTTATCTTGGCGTGAATTGTAATGTGGTGTAGAAAAGCAGGTGGGTGAATACTGTACATTAATACGACGAGGGGGAATCGCTTGTTAAAGACTACTCGGTGAACCCCGTTCCGTGTCCAGCTGCCTGTGCGTGGTTCGTGTAATTATGTTTGTGTCTCGGTGCATGTGTATTCTTTTCTCCCTGTTGTGCGCTGCATATTGCGACAACTAGCCAAGATCTGCGCTATGTGCCAGAGGAAGAACCGACCTGCCAACATGGCTGAGTTAATAAGGTGGAGAACCGTAGAATTGTGTTGCGCAAGTGCCGCCTAAGCCTTGGGCATGATGCTGAGATTTAGATGTCTTGGTCTTCAGAAGTGGTACGCGTCTCTTCCTCATCCGCCTTTGATTTTGACTGCCGGCGGCGCTGCATATGTCGACGCTCCCATTCTCCCACTGCCCGTGGCACTGGCTCTCTAGGCGGTGTTTTTATCTTCGTTGGAATCCAATTGCGGGTTTGCACTCTGTCAACCTTTCTGGAATCCATTGTTGTTTCTTTTCCGAAATCAACGTCCCAATGGCTCAAGCCCTTGGCTGCGATACTATTAGGGAGCGACTGTCGCAAAGTTGTTGAAGCAAGCGTTCTATTTCCTGTGACAAAATCTGGCCAGACTCTGGCGAGAAACGAGCTTGAGCTGCCCTTATGGTTATATGCGGGAGATTCCGTTACCTCGATGACAAATTTGGTGTCTTCTGGGTTAGAAGGTCGCGAAGGTTGCTTTTCAAACCGCGGTTTTAACCCGTCCACTTTCACAGTAGACTTTGGCTCCTTACAGGATGAAGGAACAGTGATGTTGATTGGGCTTGAACAGACGGCTTTGGCGGCAGCTTCGCTTTCTTTCATCAGAGATATGAAGGCAGAACCCTGACCCTACAGTTGACATAGTCAGCGAAAACAGCTAGTATCCGCACAGTTCGAAATTAGCCATACCGGCATGAGTTTGAAGAACTCTACTGGGCCATATTGTTCAAGCGCTCTCAGAACAGAGCGTCTCTCAGCAAAATTGACTGGCGCGGGCGAGACGTAGAGACGTATAGATCGCTTCCCAATTTCTATATTCTTGAGATGTGTCGTAGCCATACGCTCAGCTTTCACAGCCAGTTGTGCTGCTCTGTAGGTTTCCGAAGCAGACATTTTGATGTGAAGTGAAGAATTCAATGTTAAGGAAAGGGATCCACTACATTTCATGTTCAATTTGTAGCTCGACCTTTTCCTCCACTATCGGTTCGGCTTCGGTGGGGCCGGACCGCAACTCAGGTACAGCCAGAGCTCTTTTGGATCCGTCTTTATTGTTCCCAACCTGCAACTCCAAACATTTCGACTCTTGAACCAAGCGACCTTTTAATCTCCCAGCTTCCTTGTCACGACTCCGAGCCATCGCTGAAAGCGTAACTTGCCTATTGACCCACCATATTTTGCACTCTCCTCATATAAGAGACACAACTCTATTCGCGCCCTCACAAGAGGGCATCATCACTTTCGCGATGGCGACACCAACAGCCGCAAAGCATGCTTCACAGCAGGGTCGAACCCCCTCGCAACTCGCCGCCGCGACTCCTCCTGTATCAACTCCCTTCTCCAATCCTGCCCATGTCGTCTTTTCGCCTAGGGGGCCACGATCATCCCCTCAACAATTCAAGAAGTCACCTGCCGCATCAACCTTGATGGCGCACGCCTCGAACGCTCCTCTCAACTTCGACAGCCCTTCCACAGCTGCCGCGATGGGCGCCCTCGGAATTCCCAGTGGGCTCGATATGGGTCTTGATAATGTTGGTGTTGGTGGACTGGGCTCATTAGGTGCTCTGGCGAGTGAGGACGATAAGTTGAAGCGGTTGGAAACGATCATAGCCACCTTAGATGTAATGATTTTGTTCCCTGTGATTGGATGTATTGCTAATTCAGTGTAGCAGAAGAAGGGACTTGTGAGTGAGGCAGGACTCGAGCGTCTGGCGCAGCGAATAGGACTCGACTGCCTTTCGGAGGATCATACAGCACCTGATGGCCGAAAACAAAGAACTCTCGTGATAGCAGGCTCAGCCATTCAGCTGGATATCACCCTGGACAATAATATTGTCGAGAATATATCACTGGCCTTCCCAGAATCTGCTCGCTCAGTCACCGACCATGTCAGCCGAGCAAGCGAGATCCTCCTGAAGGACTTGCAACTTCTTCCAAACCAGAGCCCATTAACAAAAACTCTTGATAGGTTCGCGGTCAATCTCGAGCGACTAGCCGTCCTCGATAGGCTTAGCATCATCCCTGGTCTCGACTGTCACGAAGCATTGGCTGGCATTTATGTGAGCTTGGAAAGGCTTCACAAATGGGATGTTGCTCGGCTTCGTGATGAACCTGGAATGGGTGGCAAACCGGACAGCGAACTGTCTACCATGGCGATGTGCACACGACATGGCTACCCCGTTATGCATTCAAAAGACCGAGTAGGCCTCGCACTCCAGTACTGGAAGGCCCTACGCCTCGTCCAACCAACCAATACTAGGTTGGCTTCATTCGCTTCTTCTCATGAACCGGTCTGGTCTCTTCTTATTGGGTGTGCTTCAACAGGAGGCATGGGCCATATGCCTGTTCGAGTCTCTGAGGACTGGATCTCTAAGGACGTGGTGAAGGCAGAGCCCTCGATGGATCCTAAGCGTCCCAACCTGGACTGGCAAGAACCCGATAACGTCGTGCTTCCGCACTCAGAAGAAAATAAGGATACTAGCATGGAGATGCTCCAGCCAGATCTCTCAACAGCCAGGGTACCACAGGTTATGTTCGTTGCCACCTTTGACCCTCCTGTCATCCTGCCCCAGAATGACTGGCTCCGGTTGCACTCATACGCCAACGTCAACGCAAACCCATTGTTTGGGTACTCTCCAACTTTCGACAGTCTTTTCTTCCCTATCCCCCCTGGAAGTGCTCAGGACCCTAGCGAGCTCCGGGCAATCTCTCGCAGCCGTGATGTCCGCATCTACGACAAAGATCAGAAACCTATCATTAAGCCTCATCAGAACACACTGTATATCTATAAGCAAATATATTCACAAGTGGTGACTGAAATCCCATTCTCTCATCCTCAGCAGCTTATCGAAATGCTCCCACTGCTTCGACAGTATGCTTTTGTCGCAACTTTGCTAGAGAACAGCTTTGGATCACAGACGAACGAAGTCAAGAGATTGCCCAAGCAAGGAAATACCGCAGCGCCGGCGCCAAAATTGAATCTAACTACTAGAGATGAGTTGGCGGAGTTTATGAAATCAGCTTCTGTAGCCGACGAGTATACCGCTGCTGCGCCGGAGGTCAAGCTTGATGTTACCCTGTGGGTTCATCCAATTCCACACCTTCAAGTTGTCTTCCCATTCCGAAATTCAACTGCCAATATTACCTTGAAGGTACTCGAGGATGGCATTGTGGAAGTCGTCGAGGAGAATGTCATTCCTCGTGGCGAGGATAGTAGAATGAAGGGTAAAGAACTTACGCGGGCAGATCTGGGCAAGCTGCTAGAATATATGGAGGATCTCTGCAAATGGGCAGAATGGATTCGGACAAGACTTGCATGAGTGGTTGAGACATGACATGGTGGTTGGAAGGGAGCAAAGAGTTGAATGATACCCTCAGAGTGTTATATAAAGTGGATAGGCGGAGATAAACTGAACGACTTATGCTGCCATGGCACAAACCATCTCTTTCCTCTACACGACTCATAACCTGATTCTAATGTTCACAAATAGAATAGATCTCAAAACCTGGGCCTAGATTTGGTCATCAGCGATGTAGCCCCTCAGTCCCACCATCGCATTACGCTCCGACTTCCCTTCCTCCTTAATCTTCTTCACATGAATCATGCTGTCGTCCAGAGTGCGGATAGCACAGCTACCATCGCCTTGATCCCATACCCGAGTCTCAAAGATACCCTCAGTGCCCTCAATGAGCCGGACTTTTGCTCCATCATTCCTGATATCCTTTGAAGATATGATCTCAACATCTTGGAAAATCAGACGCTTTGTATCTCCCTTCTTATTGACAGCGTGAGTCCATACAGATCCAAGAACTCGTACCCTTCGCACAATCTCATCCGCTGTCCACTTAGTCCATTCGATATGTCCATCAGCCTTTGTGACCTTGGGCGCGTGGACAAGCTGCTCTTCACTGAGTTCTTCTGCTCTCCATCCTTTATTCTGGCGCGGCGTCACATAGACTCCATCTCGTAGACCTTGAATTAACATTTGCGCTCCAACTGGTGCCAGGAGGTTTGTGAGTTCTTGGACGGTGCAACCTGGAGGTATCGATACTCCGGGGCGAGGAGTTTGAGAAAGTACAGTTCCATGATCGAAGATTCTGTGGTCTAGTGTTTGCAAAGAAATTCCCGTGTAGTCGTATCCTTTGAGGATCGCATGATGGATGGGAGCAGGTCCACGAAGACTACTTCTCGTTTAGGGTCCTGGCAGAAGTATGCGGCATGAGACTTACTCGGGGAGCAGAGAAGGATGCACGTTGAGGCCGCCGTATTTGGCCGAAGTCAAGATCCTAGGCGGGACGAATAGTCCGAAGGACACTGCTATCACAAGATTTGTTCTTTCAGGGAGCTACAGTCTTTAGTCACCGAGTTCCCCGGGAAGTGCTCAATGAGGAAGCACGCAAACTTACATCCCATCCTGTGAAGGTTTTACGCTGGTGAATATTCAATCTCAAGTTTTCTGCCAGCAACTTACAAGGTACTAAACCGATATAAGTTAAACGTCGTGCTTTTCTCATAGATTTGGCGTACCTTCTCTCAGTGTTTTGAACCCTCTTCCCATGCGTCTTGGCGGCAAAACCATAACATCCACCGATTCAACGAGCTTCTTATTCTGGCGATGCTCTTCATGAAGAGCTGTCAGAGAAGCGCAACTGAACTCGTCTGATCCGCAGAAAAGGATGCGCAAAGGGTCTGACGAGTTTCGAGGCACACTTTGCGAGAAGAGCCTTCGCCATTGAGGAATTTGCAAGTCAAGCAATGACCTGGATCTGGCGACACTCAATAGAATCATGCTCTCAGTTCATCATTGAATCACTTTAAATTTGGTTAGTAACTTCTCGGCGTATCAATACACGTTGGCAGCCTGAAGGGACTATAAAAGAATCGCGTTTGTTGCATCTCCGCTTATTTGCATTGAATCTTGGCTTAAAGGAAGACCGATATATCTCACTCGTTTGAATTGAGCAGAGCTTGAGAACGGTTCACAAGGAACTTTACGCCACACACTTATTCATGTTATAAAATCTGGCAATTCTGTCAAGTTGATATGTGCTTTGTCTGTTCTTTATCTGTTCATTTTGCCAAATAGGTTGTTGTGGGGTAAAGCCATCGCCCATAAAGACGGTTGTTGAATATAGGCACATTTGGAAGTGACTCAAGAACTGATGGGCTATTGTGTATTTGAGAATTACATAGGCAGGAGCTAGATTAAGCTGGGGTTAAAGGGAACCGGTTATTAACTTATGAACCAAAACTCAAGACCGTCCAAAAGTAGCGTACGTGGTTCATAGGCCAGTAATTGAGTTTTTATTGCTATTTTCACCCGCATGTAAACATATTTATCTGGCTAACAACTCACTACACAAGATTTTAGTTGACAGTCCACCTGCATTGTCATGAAGAGTCACACTTATTGAAGCGATGTTTAGGTAGCCCCTAGCGTTGGCAAAGAAAAGCCCGTCTTGTACCCAGCATGATTCAGACAATGGAGTAACATGTTTTATTTTGTTTTGTTTAGAAAAGATCATCCACGGCCTTATCGGCATCTTTTTGGATCAATTCGACCATGCCCTAAAGAAAACTGTTAGATTCTGATGAGCATGGCTAAACGGATTCACAAACCTTAGGCATGATAGGCTTGCCGTCTTCACTCTGGACATATCGGAAGGGCATCTCGGTACTCTCGTGTTCGTTGAATTTGAGCTCAGGGAAGTCCAGGTAGGGCACCTGGTCAAGTGGCACTGGTGGTGATCGTGAGCTTCCAAGCTGCAGGGGCCCAATATGCGGATAACGAACCCTTGTCTTGAACAACAATACGAGTAACTCGGACGGCCGTATCTGTTGTCATCTGCTTGGGGCCGAGTCTGCGGCCCTCAAAGCCCTTCTTTCGAAGCTCCGAAGTACGGTCTATGATCTTCGGGTTAAAAGGTATAAATAAATTCATATTGTGAGAGTTACAGACCTCGAGGAGGATCATCGCCTACCAAACAAACATGAAACGTCAGTAACAGTACATCAGCTGTTCCTCATAATTTTTACGTACCAAGGATACCTCCGAACAAGAAGGCATCAAAGTTCTCACCGTCCTCAGGAGAGAGATCCTTGGCGGCTGAAGGATCTAGCAAGCAAACTCGCGACTTGTTGGCGGCATAGAGCTCCTCAACACCACGCTGCTCAGCAGTGAAGGCGGGGTTGCTGGCCAGGTCTGTTGGAACCTGGAACGTAGAAGGCAAACTGGAGAGTATGAAAGAGCCATGAGTAGCCTGTGTCTCGCGTGCGATGGCCAGATATTCGAGTTCGGACCAAGGGCCCAGCTCTGGGTCGAGATGCTCGACAATAAAAGTCTTTCCAGAGACTGCCATTTTTTCTTTGTTCTCTGGTGAGGGGCAACGCTGAGTTTGAGACAGCGGCGTGTGCACTAGGCAAGTAGTGGTGGTAAATACTGAAGCACTGGGATATTGATCGATCTCTTCTGATATTGATAAAAATTCAATTGCGCCTTGAATATGAGACTTTACAAAAGAGAATGTGGTGGAGACTCCGATTGGTTTAGCTGGAGAGGGTTTCGAAATTCCCTATCCAACAGTCTTAAGTTAGGTAGTTCATCGCCTGAAGCAATCTACTAGTGATCGTCGTGGATGCACCAAGCTTTGTATTTCATTCCTCCCGCCCTTCCAATATTGAATATCAATACTTCTTATTAATCTGAACCTGATCGCAAACGTAAAAGGATGCCAGAAATAAAAGCCGCAGAGTAAAGCCGGTCATTGATTGATCATTGAAGGCCGTACAGTCGATGCATTGACAATGCATGCCTTTGACTGATAGCGCGTGCCACTTGTTGGTACTATTGTGTCCAATCTTCATGGAGCTGTTTCTTATTGAGTACCAATATGAGCAACGTCAACAGCGCCACAGTACGAAAAAGACAAACATAAGCAAACCCGCTAACATGCATCGGCGTAAAAAAAAAAAAAAAAAAAAAAAAAAAAAAAAAAAAAGAAAGTAAAAACTACCTACCTTAGGTATGGATTTATCATTGATCATGTTGGAGTTAGAAAAGAAATGCGTAGTACCTACCAAGGTGGGTAGTTATGGGCTCCAAAGTGAACCAAATTAGAGGTAAATGTCCAGTGGACCCTTGCCCGGAGGAATTACCTACCTATCCACTGCAACCAGAATTAAAACGCCAAGCCACCGCTGCGACCAGCGACAGTACGGAAGCTACAGCCTGGCCCCCACTAGAACCCGTCCCGGGGTCCCGAGGGGCCACCTCATCTCTCCTGGACTAGGTCCTAAGTATTGGATTGTCCCTTTATCAAGCAAGGCACCTTCATTCCAACAGCAACTCTGATTGCTTTCCATGTCGTCGTCGAGGAGGACCTTCAATTCTTTGTCTGTTTAATCTTCATAATCCGTCGTCGTATAAATACTTACCCTTCCTTTCTGTGTTCTTTCAACATTACCCGCGGCGTCTTTCGTCCGCAACTTCATCATGGTTCTCAAATCCATGATTCCGTCCCTGAGACGATGGGCTGCCCTTGTCTCCCTTTGCCTCGCACCAGCTTTAGCCATCGCTGTAAACGATGCGACTACAACAAAAGCTGCAGCTGCCGACTACTATGTTCGCGACCTTCCAGGTTTACCCACCGATGGGCCCGATGTCAAGATGCATGCTGGGTTAGACAAACCGTTTCCTCCCTGTGCTCCAGGCTTACTGACACGTCCGTGTGCTTTTTAGTCATATCGAAGTCACCCCAGATACACATGGAAACTTGTTCTTTTGGCATTTCGAGAACCAGCACATCGCCGATAGGCAACGGACCGTTATTTGGATCAATGGTGGACCTGGCTGCAGTTCAGAAGATGGCTCCATGATGGAAATTGGTCCCTATCGGCTGAAGGATCAAGACCATTTGACCTACAACAATGGCTCGTGGAACGAATTCGCCAACTTGCTGTTTGTCGATAACCCTGTAGGCACCGGCTTCAGCTCGGTCGACACCAATAACTATATACACGAACTGAAGGAAATGGCGGACCAATTTGTCAAATTCCTTGAGCAGTGGTTCGCTCTCTTTCCTCAGTATGATCGCGATGATGTGAGCAACCCTTTCCTTATGTGCATTCCAGTTTGCTAAGAACAATGCAGATATACATCGCAGGCGAGTCTTACGCCGGACAGCATATCCCCTACATCGCCAGGGCTATTCTCGATCGCAATACGAAGAGCCCTGCAACCGCATGGAACCTGAAAGGGCTGTTGATCGGCAATGGCTGGATCGATCCAGTCGAGCAGTATCCCGCCTACATTACATATGCGATTCAGAAGGGTCTCATTAAGAAGGACTCCGACGAGCACAAGCAACTGCAAGGCGATCTGCGCAATTGTGAAAAAATGATGGCCTCGGATGTTGGCCATGTGGATTACGGCGAATGCGAAGCAATCTTATCCAACATGCTCAGGTTAACCAAAAACGGTGACGGCGATAATGCATGCGTTAACATGTACGATGTGCGACTCAAGGATTCATACCCCAGCTGTGGCATGAACTGGCCTCCGGATCTGGTGCACCTGACCCCTTACTTGAGAAAGCCCGAAGTTACGAAGGCCCTTCACGTCGATGGCATTAAGAAATCTGTCGGTTGGACCGAGTGTAACGGTGCTGTTGGAGGCGCCTTCAACGCAAGGAAGTCTAAACCCTCGGTTGATCTGCTGCCTGCCCTTCTTAAGGAAGTCCCCATTATGCTCTTCTCAGGAGCTGAAGATCTCATTTGCAACCACATTGGAACCGAAAACATGATCAGCAAGATGGAGTGGAATGGTGGGAAGGGTTTCGAAGTAACACCCGGTAACTGGGCTCCTCGGCGCGACTGGACTTTTGAGGACGAGGCAGCTGGTTTCTGGCAAGAGGCCCGGAACTTGACATATGTTCTTGTCTACAACTCTTCTCACATGGTCCCTTTCGACCTTCCGCGACGAAGCCGAGATATACTGGACCGCTTCATGGGCGTTGACATCAGCAGAGTTGGTGGTGATCCTGCTGACAGTCGCATTGATGGCGAGAAGGGGCCAAAGACCAGTGTTGGCGACGCTAAGAATAGTACCAAGACCGCTGACGAGGAACACCAAAAGCAGTTGGATGAGGCCAAATGGGCAGCTTACTACAAGTCTGGCGAAATTGTTCTGGTTATCGTCGTCATTGGTGTCATCGTCTGGGGATACTGGATCTGGCGCGAACGTCGCAGGGGCGCCGCCTATTCTGCTTTGGCTGATCACGATCTTTCCAGCCGCCCCAACGGCCATCGAGCCAAGTCACAACCTGGTGATCTTGAGTCGGCGGCTTTTGATGAAAGCGAACTAGACGATTTGCATGTAACAACACCGGGAACTAGCAACAGTGCTAGATTTCCAGCGAATCATGACAGTAGCGAAAAGTTCGTCACCAAGTACGCCGAATAATGGACAACCAGAGGCCACGGGCCTTGTTTCTACCTGCACAACATTCGTACGGTTGTATAATTTAGCTGGCGCCCTGGTTCTTTTGCATAAAGTGGTTGGTTCTGTCACAGTTGGGAGGTCTGGCGTTTTCCTCATATTCATTATTGCGAATCAAGTTAATTTTATCATCATCTAAGTTGGTAATCCTACGCCGACAAACTCCGTATCTAGATCAGAGCCCTCCGTAAAACCTTGCCCCGAGATCCTTGTTTGTGTGACTTGCAGCCCGTGTATCCTGTTCCATGTTCCAAAGCAAACAATCCACCCACCAAGTAAATCTTGTATTTACGCCTGCAGTGCTGCGCCGTCGTTGTCCATGAAGAAAGAAAGATTTGTATGAGCCAAAGTTTAGAGTTGCACATCGTTGTTGAGCAGGCGAACTTCTTCACCTGGCTTGAAAGGAGGAAGGCCGATA